AAGACACTATCAACAGAGGAAAATGGTAACCCACAAAATGGGAGAAAGTATTCACCAACCATATACTTGATAAGGGATTAATATCCAGAATATGTAGAGAAATCTTACAATTCAACAAAAAACAATTTAAAATGGGCAAAATACTTAATAAACACTTCTCCAAAGAAGATATACAAATGGCAATAAGCACATGAAAAGGTGCCCAACATCACTAATTATTAGTGAAATGCAAATCAAAACTATAAGATACCACCTCACACCCATAGGATGGCTCCTATTTAAAAAAAAAAAAAAAAAAGTGCTGACAAGGGTGTGGAGAAATTAGAATGCTTGTGCACTGTTGGTGCGAATGTCAAATGTTACAGCCACTGTGGAAAACAGTATGGCAGTTCTTGAAAAAAAAAAAAAATAGAATTAGCATATGATCCAGAAATTCCACTTTTAGGGATATGCACAAAATATTTGAAAGTAAGGCTTTTATGAAACATTTGTACATTCCTTTTCTAGCAGCATTATTCGCAATAGCGAAAATGTGTAAGTAACCCAAGTGTTCACTGACAGATGAATGGATAAGCAAAATGTGGTATATCCATAAGATGGAATATAACTTAGCCTTAAAAAGGAAGGAGATTCTGACCTATGCTACAATGTGGATGAATCTTGAGAGTATTATGCTAAGTTAAATAAACTAGTCACAAGAAGACAAATGCTGTATGATTCCTCCTAGGCCTCTGGGCCTGTGATGGGAAAGGCTGCTGCAAAGGTCTGGGATGGCCTGGAGACATTTTCTCCATTGTCTTGGAGATTAACATTTGGCTCCTCATTACTTATGCAAATTTCTGCAGCAGGCTTGAATTTCATCCCAGAAAATGGGTTTTTCCTTTCTATTGCATCATCAGGCTGTCAATTTTCCAAACTTTTATGCTCTGCTTCCTTTTAAAACCGAATGCTTTCAACATCACCAAAGTCACCTCTTGAGTGCTTTGCTGCTTAGATATTTCTTTTAACAGATACCCTAAATAATCTTCCTCAAGTTCAAAGTTCCACAAATCTCCAGGGCAGGGGCAAAATGCCATCAGTCTCTTTGCTAAAACATAGGAAGAGTCACCTTCACTACAGTTCCCAACAAGTTTCTCATCTCCATCTGAGACCACCTCAGCCTGGATTTCTTTGTCCATATCATTATCAGCATTTTTTGTCAAAGCCATTCAACAAGTTTCTAGGAAGTTCTAAACTTTCCCACATTTTCTTGTCTTCTGAGCCCTCCAAACTGTTCCAACCACTGTCTGTTACCAAGTTCCAAAGTCTCTTCCACATTTTCGGATATTTTTACAGCAGCACTCCACTGTACCAGTACCAACTTACTGTATTAGTCCGTTTTCACACTGCTAATAAGGACAAACTTGAGACTGGGTAATTTGTAAAGAAAAAGAGGTTTAATGGACTCACAGTTCCACGTGGCTGGGGAGATCTCACAATCATGGCAGAAGGTGAAAGGCATGTCTTATGTGGTGGCAGACAAGATAGAATGAGAGCCAAGCGAAAGGGGTTTCCCCTTATAAAACCATCAGCTCTCACGAGACTTATTCACCACCACGAGAATAGTATGGGGGAAACCACCCCCATGATTCAATTATCTCCCACTTGGTCCCTCCCACAACATGTGGGAATTATAGGAGCTACAATTCAAGATGAGATTTGGGTGGGGACATGGCCAAACCATATCAATTGGGCAGCCAGCCGTCTGTTGTTGGATGATTTTCACCAAAGTGCATCTTTCTTTCTACAATCAGAGGCTGCCACCTCCAAAGAACATAATATCTCACTTCATCCTCTGGCTGGATGCTTACGGGGGTAGAGTAAAGTGGCAGTGCAGTGAATCTTGGGAGGGGTCATCCTTACAAGTAAAGCACTATAGTTTGGTAGACATGGAAGAACCTCAGATGCAGTGGATGCTGTAACCAATGGCTTTATGATGGTATTTCATGGTGATAATGTGAGAACGCCAGACAGTGAGAATGCCAGACAGTGGGAACAGGTGACGATATTGTCTCTAGCCAAAAGAGTCATAAGAAATGCAAATCAGCTTATCATGCTGTTGAGTTAGGTACTAAACTTTGCTATGTGATCCCATTGTAAAACCTAGAGCCCCAAAGAATGGAATAATAAGATAGAAAACGACACAACTGATCTTTTGACTAACACTAAGTCTGGAAATTACTCTTCCATTTGAGATGATTGCCAGAAAAATCATCAATATATATCCTATGAGAAGCTCCTGAGGGGCAGAAGAATGGGATCAATGCTTCAAAGACTCAGAGAAAGAAAATCACTATAAAATTATTTGCTCCTAGAATTTAAAAAATATTTTAAGAAAACTGGCATTCTAAAGGTGAAAAGACTTTAGAATGAGATAAAAGGGAAAATATTACTTTTAAAAGTCAGTGACGTTAAAAATGTAACGGCAAAAGTAAAATCTACATTGGGAGTAGGAATGTAGATTCCTGTAGCATTACTATGACAGACACCAGAGTCAATGACATGAAAGACAAACTTAAGATCTCTTCAGGTATGTGGGCAAAAGAAAAGAGGATTCAAGTGAATAATATAGAGGAGTGGAACTGGGCATGGTGGCTCACATCTGTAATCCCAGCACTTTGGGAGGCCGAGGCAGGTAGATCACGAGGTCAGGAGATAGAGACCATCCTGGCCAACATGGTGAAACCCCATCTCTACTAAAAATACAAAAATTAGGCGGGCGTGGTGGTGTGTACCTGTAGTCTCAGCTACTCAGGAGGCTGAGGCAGGAGGATCGCTTGAACCTGGGAGGTGGAGGTTGCAGTGAGCTGAGATTATGCCACTGCACTCCAGCCTGGGCAACAGAACAAGACTCCGTCTCAAAAAAAAAAAAAAAAAAAAAAAGAATAATATAGAGAACTGGAGAGATTTATTTAAGAATTATACATTTCTGAGGAAGATACTAGAACAATTAGAACAACAGTAATTAAAGATATCACTTTAAAAAACAAGACCTGACTATTCAAATTGAAAGGACTCACCATTCTAGATGATAGTAATGAAAAGAGGGCTCTTCTAGAAATACCCTGCAAACGTTTGGGAATGCAAGTATAAAGAAAAAAACCACATCTATTAGTATTCTGCCATAAAGCAGGTTATTTATGAGGAAACAAAAATTTAGCTATTGGAGATAGCTCTCCAATAAGAAATGCCAGAAGACAACAGAAAAAATACTTAAAATTTTTTGAAGAAGAAGACTGTGACCTAAGAATTTTCTCAGCTGAATTTTTTTTTTCTCATATGTGAAGACAACAGATGAACAATACCATATATTCAAAGGCTCAGGAAATAGAGCATTCACGTATTCTTCATGAAAATATTATTTGGAGACATATATCAGGCACTCAAAAGATGTGAAAGAAGAATAGGGTATGGATTACACATAGTTCATGGCATTACATAAGTGTTTTATAGCAAGATGACATAGCTTGGGAAAACAGAAGCTGTGTTTAATAGCAGTACTTCCAAGCCATAACTTACACTAGCCCAATTCTCAATAAATTGGAAGGCAGCTAAACAATCATACGATGCTAGTATTTTATAGTGTCAGGGTCTATTCACATATAATCTCATTTAACGCATTTTAATTCCATGAGATAAAAACCAATATTCCCATTTAAGATATGGGAAACTAAGACATAGAAGGAAGCACTTGGCTAAGATATCATGGCTTATAGGTGGCAGTGAAGAGGTCAGTTTGCAGTCTACAGGTTTAACCTCAGACTATTCTGCTTCTAACATGACTACGGAAATGTGTTGATCATTAGCTGCCTGAAGCTCTGTTCTTAACTCTAGGTGTCCAAAAGAAGATGAATTTTGTTTAGATAGCATTTCCCATATCTAGGGCTATTGGCTTTAAAGAAATTCCCAGAAGTGAATCCAGTTCCTAGAAGGATCAAGCTGGATTCTTTTGTGTGTTATTCTAACAGGTTGCGCGCTCTCTCTCTCTCTATATATATATAAAATTTATATAATATACATATATAATTTTATGTATTATATATGTATAATATCATGTAATATATACATACAGTACATTTCACACTGGTAGGATATAATTCCATACCACATATTTGTTTAACCAATTGAATTACTTGGATTTAGCTTCTATTTCCCTCTTTATTTCCTTCTGAAAATATTATACAAATAACATCAATTTACAAAAAATAAAATCTGATATAGCTTTTTTTTTCATACACTAGCCTAGACTAAACTCATTCTGTGGATTGGTTACCTAGGACCAACTGGTATATTATAAAGTTGTATAAAAATGAACAAGGACTGCCTGAAATATATTGATAGCTGAGCACATTTGGCTGGAGTGTCTATTTTAGAAGGAAAACCTGAGAATCACATGCGATTCATGTGTTAATAGTATTTCAAGACAGGCCATTTAAAATATGTCCTGAGTGCTGATACTGGAAATGATCTTTACTTCAGTGCTTTCAAGTGTCTTCATTTAAGTGTTCACATTTTGCCTACCTATAACACATATCTACACACTGTGATTAAGAAAGCAAACACTGAAATCTGACCTAGATTAAAGATCTTAATTTCTGCCAGTTGATTGGGCAAGTGACTTAATCATTCTACAGTAATTTCTGCATTTGAAAATGCCTATCTCAAGGGTGATGAGAATTACACTGGTTCATCAAAAGAATTACACTGACTAATATAAAACGTGCCAAGCATGTATGTGTCACATGAAGGCTCGTTAAAAAGTGGATATTATTGCTAATCTTCCAGTAACTACTATTTCCAACAACAGTCTGAAGGGGATCAGAAATGTTTGTTGAGTAAAAACACAAGGAAACAATAGCACACATTTTCTGCTCTCCTTTATGATCGCTGACCTGTCTAAGGACTGGGATCTCGGTTCACTACAGATTGTCACCCGCATTAATCTACTGTCACCCATTAACCTAACAAATAAGGCAGTCTAAAAACTCCAGGCATCCCTTTCCGTAAGGACCCGGACTGTTGAACCGAAAGCTAAAATTCAAGACGTGACAACTGCCCTTTGTCCCACATTCTCCCACCGGTCGCCTGCTTATTTAAATGGTGCGTCCCCTCGGGTACCACTCGAACAAAATTTGCGCGGAGCGCTCCCTGTGTAGATTCGTTGGAAGCAGCTGGAGGCTCCAGTTCTCATCTGCTCAGGTGTCCCTGGCGCCTTGACGAACTCGGCCTCTCCAGTTCCTCACCTGGTGAGCCCTCAGGACAGCGGACTGATTTTGAGGGGCGCGGCTCGCAGCGGCGGGTGCAGGGGCGACTGCCAGCCCTCACCCCGCCTCAGGGTGCGTTCGGAGGCCGACACCTGGCGGACGCCTCCCCGCGGGACGCCACGCCTGCGCGCCGGGGATCTGGGATAAGAAGTGCGCGCCTGGCTTGGGCTGCGCGCCGCTGGGACACCAGTTTGCGCGCAGGGCTCAGACGACCGTGCGGCCATGGACATGCCGCGGGGCATTGGCACCTTCGTGGTGTGGGACTACGTGGTGTTCGCGGGCATGCTGGTCATCTCGGCCGCCATCGGCATCTACTACGCCTTCGCTGGGGGCGGCCAGCAGACCTCCAAGGATTTCCTAATGGGCGGCCGCAGAATGACGGCCGTGCCCGTGGCGCTGTCCCTCACCGCTAGCTTCATGTCGGCTGTCACCGTCCTGGGCACCCCCTCCGAGGTCTACCGTTTTGGGGCCATTTTTAGCATCTTTGCCTTCACCTACTTCTTTGTAGTGGTCATCAGCGCGGAGGTCTTCCTCCCGGTGTTCTACAAACTGGGAATTACCAGCACCTATGAGGTAAGGGGCAGGGTGGGCTGGGACCGTGGAGGGCGCGGGGTAAGGGGACTCTGCAGACCTCTGGAGGCGTTTTCTTGGGGGCAGACTCTCACCGCCACATCGAAATCTCTCCCCGTCCATCATCACCCTCCCTACCTTCCTCCCTGTCACCCGACCCTCCCCTGGCATCCCTTCCCTTCTACTGAGAGGTATCCTCTAAGGGTGAAAAAATCCTTGGGATTTACTCTCCTGGGCTTAGTGAAAAAAAAGAGGCTTCCAAAGTGAACGGATTGGAATAGTAGTGCTCGCTAAGATCCTTTCTACCTTTAGCATCTTTGATTCCCAAGCAAGAGGAAAGATTTGGGGGGAAGGTAAGTTCTTCAGGTCTCAGGCCCTGCTTCTTGAAATGAATCCTCTTGTTTCAGGTCCTCAGTGCCATTCACTCTTCCAAGACGGTGAAGAATTTGTGCTCCCCTTCCTTCCCCTTCCACACACACCCCCTTTCCACTGAAAGGCACCCAAGTGGCTAAGGTGTACCAGTAAGTGTATTTGGGACCAGATTCTACCACTTACTAGCTGGGTGACCTTGGATGACTTACTCAACCTTTTGTGCCTATTTCCTCAAAATTAAAATAATATCACCTACCTCATCCAGTTGTTGGGAGGATTAAATGAGATAATGCAAGGTGTAGCATTTAGAACAGTGTTTGACACAGAGTAAGTGCCAGATAGATGTTGGCCATAATTATTGTGGTGGTGCTAGTTGTGGTGGTGGTAGTTATCTTGGGATCGGTAAGAAAATTAGGCAGCATGGTTCTCAAACAGCTCTGCCTTCTCTACAGAAAGATAATTAAGGAAAACTGTCTTTCCTCTATTGCACAGATCCCCTGGCTATAGGTTTTCTCAAGTTGTCTGCAGGAAAGGGCTTTGAAAATATGATGCATGTTTAGTTTAAAGAGCTGTTTAATGGGAGGTGGGGGGGCGGGATCAAAGCTCAAGGAAGTGGCGGGGCCCAGTTCAGTGCCTTCCGTGGTCTCCTTCACCCAGGCACTGATCCATGAGCTCCATGGAACAAACCTTCAAAAGTTTCCTCTTTATTAAGCCATTAACCCAGAGAACTCCAATCCAGGGGTTCTGGCAGGTGCTTTCCTAGTGAGGCTGGTTCAACTGGTGCTGGGGACAGGGCCTCAATGGCACAACAAACATTGGTGACACATTCTGCCTGGGCTCTAGTGACATCTTCCAGGGCGAGGCACCCCGGGCAGCGTTGCCTTCCATTCACTCTGATGCTGTGTTTGGGAGAGCCCAGTAATCATCCCAGAAGTGAGCAGGATGCAGTTTCTCAGGTTTGCTCAGAAGTGACAAACTGGTGAAATTCCCCAGACCAAATTCAGTTCTCAGTCATTTTTTTTTTTTTTTTTACTTCTCCTTATAGTGAGGAGAAACAAAATATAATTTCGGACTATGACTTCTTTTGAGAACTCAAAAGGCTGGTAACACTGGGCCCATGCCCCCTGTGGCCACAGGAACTCGAGTTTACAGCTCTTGCTGTCACTCTCTATTAAACTTTGATATTGAGGTCTTTGTGTTTTCATGGTGACTGTTTTTTGGTAGAGAAATTTTTATCTGCATTTATGTCTTTATCAAAAAATGTGAAAGGGAAAATGGACAGGGGTAAAGGGATCTCTTGTTTCCAGGGAGATGTAAGAAAACATATATCTTAGTGGCTGGGAGGAATATTCCAACATGTTAATATGTGAACACCTGGTCAATGTCACTTATGTATGTTACCTGATGGAACCTGGAGGCATTTGAGTCTGTGAGCTCTGATCTACAGCTAACCAATTCCCAAACTTGGAAAGGGTTTGAAGAATCTGACATGAGGACTTCATCTCTACAGATGAATGCTGTTCTCATAATCACTGACCCATGCCTCTTCGGGGCTACAATATTAACTCAACCAGAAACAGATTTCCCTCATGTTTGCAGTGGTAGAGGCTAAGTTAGCAGGGGTTCCAGCTAAAAATGGCAAAAAACAAAAGTTCATTGAATGCTGAACACATGCCAGGCACTGGCCTACATTGCATGTTTCACATACGTTATCTGACTCACATTCAGAACAATCCTTATGAGGGAAGTACTATCAAGAGCCCCATTTTGTGGACGGAGACTCAGAGTAAGTTAAGCTTCTAGGAATGTGAAGCAGTGTAGACATATGCCTAGCAGCATACTGGCTGCTTCTGAAGGCTCTGATGAGTCTGTTATAACCCCAAGCAGTACTTACACCAGTGCAGAGAGAACAAGGGAAGCAATAGAGGACGCGTGAAGTTGTGGGCACACTGCAGGCATCCACCTCTGGGGTACCAGGCAGTTGGGAACAGGGAAGTTAGGCAACATGCTAAGACCCTCCCTAATGGTCATGGCAAAGACTTTCCTGTGGAGTATATTATTCATTGTTTTATGCTGAGAGGTACAGAATCTATACAGAATATGCAGTACAGTGTTGAGTGATTGAAAACCTGGCATTCTTGCTCAAGTATGAAATCTCTCCCTGTTGACATTTCTTTAGCGAAAATTAGCTGTTCACAAACATTTTTTTTCATTTATCACTGCCTTCAAAATGTAGTCCTGATAGGTGTTTAGCAACTTCCAGACCCAAGTATAATGCAGGAATCCAATTTGATCCATCAATTCTTCAAGATCTTTCTGGAGCCAACTAAATCTGTGTTTAAACTGAGTTGCTTAGACCTCATGTTTGCTTATTATTTATATATTTATTCATATCAACAGAAGTGATTCAAAGTTCTGAGGACAATGAGAGATCATGATTAATTTAGGCACCTATCATTACTCTATAATTATGTCTAGAAATCTTACAAGTATTCCCTAAGGCAGCCTAGTAATTGATGACTGAGATCGTAATAGACTTCTTGGTTCTATCTTGAGTTGGTCCTTGAGCTTAAATCACAGGTTTCCCTGGATCAACTGATCAACTTATGTGGTTCAGCTTGGTTCAATTTATTTGTGTCTCCAGCAATTTGGATGCATGTATCTAGCATAAACAAGACTTCTCTTCTATTGATGTCCATTCACATGTTTAGTGACTCATAGAGATTTACAAAACAAATAAACAAAAAATAAACTTCTAAAGAAATACAATAATACTGCCCTGTTTCCAGGCTTAATAAACTTCTCCAGTCTTCTAAAAAGGCTTCCAAAATATTCTTGAATGATTTTGATATATGTAATTCATTGAGATTCAATTTTCTTCAGGTCCATTGATTTGGATACCACTAACTTCTTAATATTTTACTTTTTGAGTTTACATTTCCCCATCCGTTTATGTCATTGAATAGTCTCCAAACCCTACAAAGTGAGAGGGAAACAAATTATTATTATGCCCCTCATTTTAAAGAGAAAGAACCTGACATTTGGAGAATGATTGCCACAAGCTGATGGAGTCAGGTGTGGGACTGGGTCAAGGGCCAGAACTCTTCCTCCAGCGTACTACACGGTACTGTGTATTTGTCATCCATCAGTGATTTGGGAGTGGGGTCTTACTTTGTGTTAGTTTCATCCATTCACTTATTGAGTCTTAAATATGTAGTCAGATTGTTTATATATGCCGAATAATGTGCACAGATTTTGGCATCAAAGGTTTTACATGTGTACTGTGGCCCTGACAAGTTTGCAAGGTTGTCAACTTGGTGTTCTCTCTGAGTCCCAGTGTTCTTGTCTTTAACATGGGCTTATACACAGTATCTGGCTCATAGAGTTGTTGGGAGGACTGTGCACACAGCAAGTACTCTGTATGTGTTAGCCGTGATCATGGGGCAAAAATATCAGATGTTTTTTCCTCAGATTGTTATCTAACGCCAGTTTTTTCTTCTTCTTCTTTTCTACTATATGAAGATTGTTGTCCGCTTTAAATTTCTTAGTAATTATATTCAAGTTAGAGAATGTCTTAGATCCCAGCTCCAAAATTCTGTGATCCTAACTCTGTAATATATATATTATAATACATTATATAACATAGGAGACAAGCAGACTATGTTATAAGACATAGCAGATTTCAAGTAGAATGGGAAAAATTGGCATGGTCGTTGGCGCTGAACAGAAACTGGCTTGGGTGATTTAAGTTTAAAAAAATTTGTTAGAAGGACATGGGGGTAGCTCATAGAACAGAGGGACAAGCTGAGTAAGCAAGGCTTGGAAAGGACAGAAACCAGGGCAGCCTTTTCAGGCCACTCTGTCAGGATCAGTCATGTTTTATCTTTGTATCCTGCCTTTAAGATTCAAATACCCAATGGAAGGAAAAGCTGATTGGCTGAGCTGGGATCATGTGACTTCCTCTTGGTCAGTAGAGGCAGGGCAAATGACTGACTATTCCATCACAATAGTCTGCAATCAGAAAGGGTTGATGCCCCAAGTGAGTCAAGGAAAATGTATGGAGTAGATGCCAAGAGAAAGAGAACAACAGATTGCTCACTCTAAAATATAGAAAGTAATTTCACTTGTATGACATTCTGGAAAAGGCCAAACTAGAGAGGGAGAGCAGATCAGTGATTGCAAGGGTTTGGGGGAGGGAGGAGGGCTTGATCATGAAGGGGAAGCCCGAGGGAGTTTTCTGGGTGATGGAACTGTCTTGTGTCCTGATTGTGACAAGGGTTACATGAGTCTGTGTGTGTTAAAACCCACTGAACTGTACGCTAAAACAAGAGTCAATTTTGCTGTATATAAATAAAAATAATACTAAAATAAAAATACAGAATCCAAATCGGTTATGAAGTTGCTTTACATTTCTAAATTTAAATTTTCTTCTTGAGTTCTGATTTTAAAAAAGGCATCCAGAGGATTCACATTTTTTTTTTTTTTTTTGCAACAGTATTTAGAACTTCGATTTAACAAATGTGTTCGTCTCTGTGGAACAGTCCTGTTCATTGTTCAAACAGTAAGTAGCTCTCCATTTATTTTATCTTTTGTCAGCTAAAATGTTTTTAACCATGGCATCTGGATTAAGCTTACCTAGGAAACACATGAAAGATAAAAAAGAGGTGTTGAAAATATAAGAGAACACAAAAGGAGAAACACTAGTCACTGTACAGCATCAACCCTTAAGATCATCAAACAGGGTTTCAGTAAATGCTTTACTTCCTGGAAAAGTAGAATGATTTAAGTGAATGTTAAATATTATGCTGGTGAAGCAACAGTCGGAAAGTATGCTTTCCTTTATCTGACCTCCCTTCACCTCCACCAAGGTGACAGGAAGGGCATTACTACATGACAAAGATACTTACTTGTTGCTGACAGTGGGAATTCTAACAAAAGGAAAACAAGTAGCATGTTCACAGTATTTCTGTAACATATTGAGTAGTAGGTATGAAAAAATTAACTTCCATAGGAAGACAGTAGGAAATAATTTTCTTTGAAATCATGCTTTAAAAGTCAGCGCTCTTTTAAAAATTAGACTCTAAGAACCAACTAAAGCAGTCCTTAGAGTGTAAAACAACAGAATCCTAAGCTCTGGAGGAGTCTTTAAAGCCAAATACTCAATCCAGTAATTCAAGAACATGCACTTATAGATTTACTGATTGACACGAAGGGAAAGCAAGGATTTGCCAAGTGGCCAGTGACAGAGAATGCTTTCCACTGTTCACCCTGCTGCTGGAAGATTGTAATGATCATTGTCACGATTATTTATATACACATTTTCCTCTTGTCAGTTAAGCACTTTAGGGCTGGGTTTGCTAATGGAGATTGTGGAAGAGATTCGCATTCTTGTCTCTAATTTCAATTCCATTTCCAGTCAAAAGCTACCTAAGGGCCAGCCGCAGTGGCTCATGCCTGTAATCCCAGCATTTTGGGAGGCTGAGGCAAGTGGATCACCTGAGATCAGGAGTTCAAGACCAGCCTGGCCAACACATGGTGACACCCCCATCTCTACAAAAATACAAAAATTAGCCAGACATGATGGCAGGTGTCTATAATTCCAGTGACTGGGGAGGCTGAGGTAGGAGAATCTCCTGAACATGGGAGGCAGAGGTTGCAGTGAGCCAAGATCATGCCATTGCACCACCCCAGCCTGGGCGACAGAGCAAGACTATTTCAAAAAACAAAAAACAAAAACCAAAAAAAACCAAAAAACAAACAAACAAAAAAGCTACCTAAGGATTTGCTGCAGTGAGACAGACAGAGTGCCTCTGTAAATTATGTAACTCAACTTCATTTTATATCTTTGCAAATTATGTAACTTAAGTTTTATCAGTCCTTCACAACTGCAGTATAAAAGGAAGGAATCCTTTGGGGTCTCTTAGAGAGTTGAGCCTGGTAGCTTGCATTCACCAACTGTTCACATCTCTTTGGATCTTTGTTAGAAATGCCAACAGAAATGAGAAGTGGGGACGAGCGTTAGGAAGGTGGCCTGTGGTCATGTTTTTAAATCTTCAACTTGGACAGAATAATGACTGTGGAAAGTTAGTTCATTTTTGCAAAAAGAGGGGAGATTTAGCACCTCCCATTTGAAGGACTTCATAGTTCTACTCATGTAATATAATCAAACATTCAAAAGGTGCTGAATAGGTTTTTATTTTCATAATATGCTTTTATGGAATAATCATGGAATTCACTTCTATGGGATATATTTGAAAGATCAAACACAGTAAAAATTATATTTTGAGGAAAAGACTATTTCTCTTCCTCACTATTGTACCCCAGATCAATAAATAGTTGTTAAATATATGAATGAAAATAATGAATGATATTAAAAAGATAGAATATGGTTCTTGTTGGCTTTCAGGATTTTTTAGTGCAAATTTATACTTTTGTTTAATTTATGAACATTAAAACTTTTAGAAATATGTTTTCCAAATTTTTACTGTTTTCTCGATTAGTTATGCAGGGATTAACAGTTTGAAGACATAATTGAGGGGTCATCTTTTATATTATTATTTTTTCTTTTTTTCTAATTATTTTAGATGTGGGAAATTTTTTTTCAAGATTGAGTTGCTGGATCAGTGACCATTTGCACTAAGCACCATATAAAAGTCCATATTTTTACATAAGCGTGTTGCAAAAAAATGTTTTTAACTGATGACCATACCATAAACAGAAGAGTCAACTTTACTTAAATAATATTTTTCAAGTTACAAACAAATTTTATTAGGCATTTTGAAACTATTGTTTTAATTCATAATTGAAGTTATAGGAAAACAATCAATATTTTATAACTCAGACATAATTCATGAATTTTATAATTCATTTAATTCATTTGGCTTTCTTTCTCCCCCCTAGATTCTGTATACTGGAATTGTTATTTATGCCCCTGCCCTGGCTTTGAATCAAGGTACATTTTAGAGTTGCCAGTTAGGTAACTCACATTTTGGGGTTCACTTTCAACAAGCCTTATTTTTTCCTTGGGGAGATGGGGAGATGGAGGAATGCTTCTAGTAACCTACATCAGCCTTACTAGTGGGGCAGGACGGGTGCAGTGTCTATGGTAGTTTCTTTGGGTTTTTGGATGGGTAACTCCAAAGTGTCTGTAGACCATTACAGAGGTGGACTTCTCCAGGTGGTACTTCTCTGGGATGTGCTCACCAGCCCATTCATTCCTTTAGAATTAAAGCCCCCTGTAGCCAAAGTCAGGATTGACAGCATCTCCTCCTGTGAGCCCATCTCCAGGAAGCTTCCCTGTAATTCTGCTCAGGCCTGTTGTGAAATCTGGCAGGGAGAAAAGCTTTTCTTCTCCACGCTTCTAATAAGGCCCAAAATGAAAGAGAAACAGAGGCATGTGATTTGAATGATCAGACTGCTCCTAGTGACAAAAGGACAGATGTCTGTAGCACTCTTACAAATAAATTTATGAAGATTGTGCTGCTCAACGAAGTATCTATACTCTCTAGATTTGGGAGGATAAATGTAGTGAGGCTGGGATAGTTTACTGAAGCAAAGGTTCATGCTAGTCATAGTTTCAAAAGGTTTTGGGGAAACACCATGCCCTTTGAATTCTTATCTATTCGATGTGAATTTCTCTAAAACGTCCTTGTAAAATGGACATGTGGACTCTGTGATGGGAAGAAATGTGGTACGATTCCTGGGGTTAATATGACATGAAGAAAATCTACTAACTCTACACTCTGTTTTCTTGATTTTATGATAGACATGACAGTAGTTATCACCTAAGTTTATAAAGTAAACAGTATTATTACCAAGAGGAACTTCATGTATAAGGTGCTCTGGAACTCTGAGTCCTGGGCATGTTCCACATCAGTATTACCAACATGACAAGAGGATCATTTCATATATCAAGAACTGAGTTGTAAACTTCCTAAGTTACCTGTTTAGGCTTTATGTGCAGTTCAACATCTTAGGGTTTTAAAGTGTAGTTCTGGGAATAATCAGAGGACTGACTTTAATCTGTGAAGAAATCAAGCATTCTGTTCTTATCAGGCTCAAACCACTCCCTGAGAGTAAATTAGAACGAAAGTAAAGGCGTTTTGATGACTAGAGTGTCACTTGTGTGTTTTGCTGTGACCAAGGCTGTAGGTACAGGCATAGACACAGAACTTAGTGTGCAGTAGATGCTCAGAAAAGCTTATGTGACTGAATTGAAACTTCACATTCTGTAGGTCTAACCTCCTTTGTTCTTTTTTGGGAAACCTCAAACAAATACTAAGAGAGAATAGAGTACCTTAATATGCTCATTCATCACTCTACAGTAATATTTATCAACTCGTGGTCTACTTTAATTCACTCCCCCTTACCTCTACCAGATTATTTTTCTGCAAATATGTTATGTCATTTCATCTGTATTTCAGTATGTCCTTTGGAAATAAAGACTTTTAAAGCTATAATTATGCCATCATCGTATCTAAAATATTAATATTAATCTCTTAATTTCATATCAAGTCAGTGTTCACATTTCCCTGATTTTTTCAGTGTTTGTTAGATTCAGGATCCAAATAAGCTTATGTGATTGCAATCAGTCGATCTCTCTTAAGTTTCCCTTTTCTGCTTTTTAAAATTGAAAACCAGTTTTCTTTCTTTCTTTTTTTTCTGATCGCCTGATGCCTATTGAGAAAACTAGTTTTTATTGAGGTCTATATAATATACCTCAACATACAACATACAATAAAATGCACAGAGCATGGGGAAGTGTACAGTTGGATGAGCTTTAATAGTTGTGTCATAGCTCGTGTAACTACCACCCAGCTCAAGATACAGACTATTTCCATCATCCACTCCCAGGAATTTTCCTTATATGTCTTTCTAATAAACCTCCTATGGGCCCAAGAAACCATTTTCTGACTTATGCTACCATATACTAGTTTTCCCTATTGTTAGATTTTATAGAAGTGGAATCATATAGAGCCTTTTTATGTCTGGTTTCTTTTGCTCAGCAAAATGTTTTGAGATTCATTCATGCTGCTACATGTATCAGTAGTTCATTCCTTTTTTTTTTTTTTTTTTTTTGCTGGTAGTACTTCATTGTATGCATCTACCGACATCCGTTTATCCATTCTCTTGTTAGAGACACTGGGTTGTTTCCAGTTTTAGGCTATGGTGAAGTGAGGGTGCCAAGAACATTCTTCTACAGGTTTTGTGCATTTTGTTTTTCTTTTTGACGCCTGTTTTCACTTCCTTTGGAAATGAAGTACATGGATGTAGTATAAAATTAAAAATAATTCTAGGTCCAGGGCGGTGGCTCACACCTGTAATCCCAGCACTTTGGGAGGCTGAGGCGGGTGGATCAGGAGGTCAGGAGATTGAGACCATCCTGGCTAACACGGTGAAACCCCGTTTCTACTAAAAGATACAAAAAATTAGCCGGGCGTGGTGGCGGGCGCCTGTAGTCCCAGCTGAGGCCGGAGAATGGCATGAACCTGGGAGGCGGAGCTTGCAGTGAGCCAAGATCAGGCCACTGCACTCCAGCCTGGGCGACAGAGCGAGACTCCGTCTCAAAAAAAACAAAAAAACAAATATATATATATATATATTTCTATTTAGACCCAGCTGAGGATAGAAATATGTGCAAATTTATGAGAAATTGCCAAACAGCTTTTCCAACTGGCTGTATCATTTTACATGTCCACTACGCAATATGTGAGAATTCTCGTCATTCGACATCCTTGCCAATATTTGATATTATTCTTTTTTATTTCAGTCATTCTAGTGGGTATTATCTATTATTTTATTGCTGTTTTAATTTTCATTTTTATATGACTATTGCGGCTTAGCTTATTATTAGACTATTATGGCTTAGCTTATTGGCTCCTGAAATAATAAAGTGAATAAAGACAAATCACCTAATAAAAAGTGAGCCAAAGACTTGAACACTTCACAAAAGCAGATATTCTTCCAATACATCACATGATATATCTATTCATTCCTAGACCTTTAATAATTTCTCTTAGTGCTCACTTTGGCAGCACGTATGCTAAAACTGGAGCAATACAGAGAATATTAGCATGGCCCTTGCACAAAAATGATATGTAAATTTGTGAAGCATTCCATATTTTTTAAAAAAGAAAGAAAAGAAATAATAAAATAAAATAAGATGTCTCAGTAATGTTTTGTAGCTTTGGATGTTGAGGTCTTTTACTATTTTTTAGATTTATACCTAGATAATTGATGTTTTTATGCTATTGCAAATGGCATTGTTTTATAATATTTTTCAATTATTCATTGCAAGTATATAAAAATACAACTGACTTTTATGTGTTGATATTCCATCCTAGAACTTGCTGAATTTACTTTTTAAATCAAGCAGGTTTTTGGAGATCCCTTAGGATTTTCATGTTGTTTATGAATAATGACAATTTTACTTCTTTTCTAATCCTCATGGTTCTTAGTTCTCTTTCCTGTGTTATTGCAATGTTAATGTGGAAAGTTACCTTGACTGAGTTTTGAATATTAAACCAAGTTTTACTTTCTTGGGATAAACCCTGCTTGGTCATAATATATTATCCTTTTTATATATTAATGAATTCAATTTGATAACATTTTGATAAGGCTTAATAAATGAATTGAGAAGTGTCCCCTCCATTTTCTGAAAGAGTTTATATAAAATTGTGTATTTATTTCTTACATGCTTGGTAGAATTCACCCTGAAGGCACCTGGGCCTACTCTTCGTTTCTGTAGAAAGATTTTGGTTACGGATTCAATTTCTTTCGTAAATATAGAGTTATTCATATTTTAAAAGTCTTGTGGCATCAGTTTTGGTAAATTGTATTTTTTAGGGAATGCTTCCATTTGGTCTAACTTATCAAATTCATTGGCATGAAGCTGCTTATAATACCCTCTTGTTATGCTTTTAATGTTTATAGTATCTATAGTGACATCCCTTCTAATTATTCCTAATACTGATAAGATAACTTTTCTATCTTCTTATCTTGATATATCCTTCTAGTATTCTATTGATGTTTTAAATCTCTTCTAAGAACCAATGTTTTGACTTGTGGATTTTCTTTGTTTTCCATTTCATTAATTTGTGCTGTTTATTGTTTCTTTTCTTCTAATCATTTTGGGTTTTCTAGCTTCTTAAGGTGAAGCTTAGGTCATTGATTTTAAATATTTCTTATTTCATAATGCAAACATTTAAAGTTATTAATTTTTCTTTTACCACTGCTTTATCGGCAGCCCATAGATTTTGATACCTTGTGTTTTTATTTATTTCTCAAAATATTTTCTAATTTCTCCTGTGATTTCTTTTGCCCATGGGTTATTTAGAAGTGTATTGCTTAATTTTCAATATTTGAGGATTTTCTATCATGGCTTTTTGTTATTTATTCCTAAATTAATACTGCTTTGGTCAGAGAACTAATATGATTTTAATCATTTGAAATTTATGAATTTGTTTTATGGCCCAGGATCAGGTCTATCTTGAACATTCCATGTGCTCTCAAAAAGAACGTATATTGTATGCTTGTTGGATGTAATGTTCTATAAGGTCAAACGTTTAGTTGGCTAATAGTGTTATCATCACATCTTCCATATCTTTATGGATTTTTTTTTGCTTGTTCTATCAATTGCTGAGAGAAGGATGCTAAAATCTCCAAATATAATTACCATTTTTTCTATTGCTCCTATTTCTCTGTCAATTTTTACTGAATGTATTTTGAAGCTCTTTTAAAGTCTCTTTTTAAATTTACAATCTCCCTTCTATTTCTTTTCATTTAAATTGCAACTTATTTGCTGAAGATACTGGGTTATTTGTTCTGCCCAGTTTTCCAGGTTCTAGGTTTAACAATTACATCTGTATGGGGTCATTTAATGTTCACCATTCCTCTGTATTTCTTGTAAACTGGTAATAGTTTACTAGTTGTAGTTAGATCTAGACTCTTCTTCAGACTCCGCTTCAACTTTTTGGAAATCATATTTCATAGGCAGTATCTATAAGTTTATTTCCTTCAGGAGACCCAGAATGTCGTTTAAAAAATTATCAGCAGCTATTGATGATCATTCTAGATTTATTATTTCATTAGGGCTTATAAAATGGAGTATTCTGGTTCTGTGAATTCTTCTTCATTAGTTAGATGGAATACTGCTATAAAGAGAAACTTCCTGTTATCAACTATTTGTCTTCTCTGAAAAATAGTTTGTATAGGAAAGGGAGGATAAATGTCAGATTTCTCCCTTTATGAATTTTAAAAATATTAACTTGGTTCCATACTATCCCCCAAGGGTGACTGAGATTTTTAAAAAATTATTACGAACTCATGGATTTAAATGTTTGCTGTTATTTCATAGCATTATCGTTAGTATTATTATTGATTCTCAACCCATTTTTATCCAGCAGGTGCCGTCTTAAGTTCCTCCTGATTTTAACGTTGGCTGCATATTGGACTCACTTGGGGGGCTTTCAAAAATACCAATACCTTGGTCCCCATCACCAGGACTCTGAGTTAATTAGCCTGTTGAGTGGCCCAGTTATCAGGATTTTATAAATCTCCTCTGTAGATTTTAATGTGCAGTCACGATTGAGAGCCACGGATGTAATAGTTTTAGAAGAGCAACTCTAAGCCATAATGAATAATATAATGGCCTAACACAGTTAAAAATATTATTCTTTCTTGTTCTTTTTTCTTAGGTGTATCTCAGTAGGAATGTATGTTAAATTATCTTGTTAAATATTTTGTGACATATTTCCTCTGTGTAGTAATGTCACAAACTTGATGTACAGTTAAGTTCCATTTATTTCATTTTGCAATTGATTTTTGAGGAGCTTTTTTTCTAATTTAAATTTATAATTATGTGGAATATTTATGTATTCCAAAGTGAAATCTATACATCAAAATATGTTTAAAGTAGCCTGACTTGTATCTCTGTCTTCTCTACCTGATTTTCTCCCTCTCCTAGAAGTAATTTTTTGGCTTCGATTTATCCTTTAATTTTAGTATATGTACTGCTGAAACGAGCACAATTCTTTTCTTTTAAAAAAATGAAATAAGACTCCCTACTTCTTAAATAGGAGCAAATTATAAAGACTTTTCTCCATCTAGATCACATTTTGGTAGCACATATCTTAGTAACGCCTTCTTCAAGGACTGGTGAAATAGTGGGTTTACATGGACACACAGAGGGGAACAACACACAGTGGGGCCTGTTGGAGGGTGGAAGGTGGGAAGAGGAAGAGGATCAGGAAAAACGAAAAGTAGGTTAATGGGTACTAAGCTTGATACCTGGGTGATGAAATCATCTGTACAAGGAACCCCCATGACACAAGTTCACCTGTGTAACAAACCTCCACATGTACGTCTGAACTTAAAAGTTTTTAAAAAAGCATTACCGACTGGGCACGGTGGCTCACGCTTGTAATCCCAGCACTTTGGGAGGCTGAGGCAGGTAGATCATGAGGTCAGGAGATTGAGACCATCATGTCCAACATAGTGAAACCCGTCTCTACTAAAAATACAAAAAATTAGCTGGGCATGGTGGTGCGTGCCTGTAGTCCCGGCTACTCAGCAGGCTGAGGCAGATGAATTGCTTGAACCCAAGATATCACACCACTGCACTCCAGTCTGGTAACAAAGCAAGACTTCGTCTCCAAAAAACAAAAACAAAAACAAAAACAAAAACAAAAAACAAAAAAAAAGCATTACAGTCACCTTTGTTAAATTTCTAAAATGAGATCTGCAATCTGCAATGTTATAAAGATTACATTTGGATCATTTAATGTTGTCTTCATTTGAAATTTGAATCTACACATCATAGCAATTTGATGTCATTATGATTGTCAGTATGAAACATTATCCTCAAATTCAAGTATTTGCAACATAATACATAAAAATAGAGTGTTTATTTGAACTGTGTCTAATGGGGAGAGAGATAAGAAATACTCATCACAGTATCAAGGAGTTTCTTAGCTTAATTACAATATAAATGCCTTTCCGTGTATTGAATTAAGCCAGTGTCAGATCTGTGTGTCTGAGGGTAGAAAATTATGAAATAGAATTTTAATCTCCGTTTGTTTTTGAGCCATTTATGAGATTTGGACCTAGTTTTGGCTTTAGGCAAGTGGGTATAGAGGAAGGTGCCTGATAAATGATATAGCTTCCTTCTCTGACGATTTTTGAGGATTATTTTTATTGTGCTATTTTACAATTGTATATGACTTCTCTTTTTTTCTACAGTCACAGGATTTGATCTGTGGGGCGCGGTGGTGGCAACAGGGGTGGTCTGCACATTCTACTGCACACTGGTACGTCCAGGACGTATTTCCCTTTTCACCCTACCCACTTGCTTTGCAAAATTGAAAATTCCGGTTGTATACTGTAGTCTGGTTTGTCCATACCTATGTTCCTATTCCTGACCTCCCACAGGGTAACTTTTTTGTGTGAGAAATAGTCTGTAGTATAATTTGATCCTTTATAGAAAATGGAGCATAACTGAAATTTTTTCTTTCATTTGATCCACTGCAGTGGTTCCCAGTCTTGTCTCCTGATTCATCTGTACTGTTGCCAAGTTATTATATTTGTGCTCATACTATTCCTCAGCTGAAAAACCTATTATAGGTCGTGGGCCCAGTGGCTCCCGCCTGTAATAGCAGCAATTTGGGAGGCCAAGGTGGAAGGATTGCATAAGCCCAGGAATTTGAGACCAGCCTGGGCAACATAGTGAGACTCTGTCTCTACAAAAAACAAACAAACAAAAGTTTAAAAATTAGCCAGGAATGTGGCATACACCTGTAGTCCCAGCTACTTGGGAGACTGAGATGGGAGGACATTCATGTTTTTATCATTTTTGTCCAGCATAGTGTATAAGCAAGTAGATGCTTAATAATGTCCAATAGAAGCATTAATCCTAATATACTTTCCCTCAAAGGGTGGTCTTAAAGCAGTCATCTGGACAGATGTTTTTCAAGTTGGGATCATGGTGGCTGGATTTGCATCCGTGATTATACAGGCTGCGGTGATTCAAGGTGGAATCAGCACTATTTTAAATGATGCCTATAATGGTGGAAGATTAAATTTCTGGAAGTAAGTGTCTACTACTTGGGCAACTGAACACATCTTTTACATTCTATAAAAATAATCTCTTTATTGAAATAGTAGATTTACATTAAAAAACAAACCAACAAATTGCTAAGGATGTGGTAGAGCAAATTGAAGCAGAGAAGTAAATATGTAAGGAGCCTCCCTCTGTTCTTTAAGGGATTAAACCAGTCAGATGGCACTTAGCTACCTGGTGCTTAGAGCGATGTTTCCTCCTGAGAAGGGATTTAAAGCAAAAAAAAGTATTTTCTTCTGGGTATCAAAGTCCAGAATAGGTTGAAAAGTGGGACAGGGTGATAAGGAAAGAGACAGTAGAAAGTTAAGAAAAGGCAGCTTCTGGCCGGGTGCGGTGGCTCACATCTGTAATCCCAGCACTTTGGGAGGCCAAGGCAGGTGGATCACCTAAGGCCAGGAGTTCAAGAGCAGCCTGGCCAACATGGTGAAATGCCATCTCTACTAAAAATACAAAAAATTAGCCAGGCATGGTGGTGCGCACCTGTAATCCCAGTTACTTGGGAAGCTGAGGCAGGAGAATTGCTTGAACCCAGGAGGCAGAGGTTGCAGTGAGCTGAGATCACGCCACCACACTGCAACCTGTGCAACAGAGTGAGACTCTCTAAAAAAAAAAAAAAAAAAGGAAAAGGTAGCCTCTTAAGAGACAAACACTAGCATATTGGATTAGCACCTGCCATAAAAAAAAAAAAAAAAAGAGAGAGAGAGACACACACACTGAAAGACAGTGATTTCATCTTGACAATTCTTTGTTTTAAGCAACTTTGAGAGTTTCTCTTTTGATGTTGTCCTGGCAATATATAGTATATTAACATAGTAGCTTATGATTATGTATTATAATTATATATGTATGTGTATGTAGTATATAATGAACATTATCTAATATTAAGTATTATTTCTAGAGAATTGACTAGGAAAGTTATGGTCGATGCTTCAAGTGACAGTACAGCACATGATGTAACATGTTTTAAACAGCTATTCAGTTTTCCTAAAGAAAGAACAATGAAGAGACTAGATATTTCATCCCAAGTATATCACACAATTCAAAAGAACATTGAACACACCTTCCATTTTGGATCAATAGCGTTGTCCTTTTACAATATGGAAAGGCACCCATGTCGTCTTGAACTAGCCTACCTTCTCTTTTCTTTCTTCAGACTGCCCCACTTTGAACAGGCAGTCTGAAGAAAGAAAACCCATTTTGCACTTGGTGGCTCTTTTCTGGTCTTCTGAAAATAAGCACCAAAGTTTGAGAAAAGCTTTTTCAGAAATTGGACAGGATCAATGTGTTAATGTGCAGGAATAGATTTTAGTGAATCAACTTCAACTATTTTCAATATTTATTTCCTTCTTTTAGCTCAAGATTCAGATTCTAAGGAAAAGAGCCTCTAGTTGCCTAGCTTGGGACATGGTTCCACCCTTTGGCTGGAGCAGAACAAGATATTTTGACTGATTGTCAATCAAGACTATTTAATGGAGAAATGGTGGTTTCCCCAAAGCAAACCTAGGTTGCTGTTACCGGAACAGGGAAAGGGGAAGTCCAGGAAGTGGAAACAACCAATGGCTACTCTTGATTACTCCCAAATCTCTTCCTGGTAGGCCAGGCTGAGGAGAGAGGGTATGGAATCAGTCATTTTTCTGCAAGATAGCTGTCACTTTATATGAAGGATACATATATATTGGAGCACCAAAGCAATAGCTTATATACATTGGTAAGAGATTCTTAAAAAAAGATTAGACATTTTTATGACCTTAGCTTTGAAAGTCATTAAGCAACAATAAAAAGCCTATTTGTGTTTCATACTTTTCAGGAGTATCCCTTGTTATTCTGATACGTTTTGAGAATACGGTAGACAAAGTATTGCTCAAATTAAGATAAATGAAGAGAAGAAGGATATTGTATTGGTATTTTCTGTGTTGTCTGCCATTGGCCTATATATTCTGTATAGCCTAAACCACTAAATTGAGTGTTTTAAATCTTGTCATATTTCCCTCAGATAGCTCACTGACTCCTTTTGTCTCTTTAGTTAGCTAATGTAGTACCTTCTCTCTCTTGGGAAGAAAGGGTCAACACTCTTGAAACTCTTAAGACATTGATATGAAATGTTAGACATGAAATAGAGGCTCTTACATTTCCATAAGAATTCCAGAATATGCATACAATTAGAGCACTTTACTCAATGGATCTCAAATATAAGATTTGACATGAATTTGCAAACTTTCATAATTTTAAGGAAGTGTCCATGAAAGCTAACTTTGCAGAAAGTTTTCTAGCTCATATTGTGTATCAGAGATGAACAAAATCATTCCTTCCAATAAAAAGGATTAAAAGATCTTTCAAACATGGAAGTCAGGCTTTCTCTGTGACAATGTTTTGGACTTATGTACATGATGTCATAAAGTGGTTTTAAACTCTTAGTATTTAGCTTGTACACACAGCATTTTAATAAAGCATGATTACAGTGACATGCGGCTTTTAGAAAATGCAAAACTTTAAACTGCATTAATTGACTGATTAGTTGAACATGAATATAGATTAGAGCTATGACTACATGTGCTGGGAGAGGAATTCTATACACAATGTGTTATTAATTTTGTGTTCATTTTAGTGCCATCTCTACTGCTGTGGTGCACTTAGGAATGTTTTTCTCTCTCTCTTTCTCTTTGTTTCATGTTCTCTGATTACATCATGTCAGATTTGTTCCAACGACAGTTTCCTTAGATCACAGGAGAACAATTTATATAAATGCTCAGAATGATTGCAACATTCATTTCCCCCAGTCTCTTCTAGTATTTCCAGATCTCTGAAAATAATATTTTTTATTTCATTGAACTTAAGTTGGAAATATTTCTACCTTTTAAATTAATAAATTTGTACATATTTATGTATGTGTTGTATATATAAATATACCTTGCTTGCTTCCAAATATAGTCTAAGAGGATTTTTTTAGTCTCTGCTAATAGTTCAGATTTGTTTTCTCTTTCTTGTCATTTAGTTTTAATCCTAACCCTTTGCAAAGACACACCTTCTGGACAATTATTATAGGAGGGACCTTCACATGGAGCAGCATCTATGGTGTCAACCAATCCCAGGTGCAGAGATATATTTCTTGTAAAAGCAGATTCCAAGCAAAATTGTAAGTCATACACCATGGTATATGAAGCATTAATAACCATCAGTTGTCTTTATGGAAACTCTTCTAGGAAAGTCACGTTTAGCTCCTTTATATGTTTTGTGTCGTGAAATTCCAAGAGATAAATGATATATTTGGTTACAAAAGGACCAAGAACAAAGTGGTACTGTATGTTTTAAATCAGCTATTTGAAGATATTTGTAAGAATTATTAATGAAAACAAATCAGCATGTATTGTGCATCTATTTGCATAAGAACCTATGGGGGATAAATATATATGGCCTTTGTCCTGAAGAAAGTTAATCTCAAATTAGGAAAATACATGCAAGTATGCTAAAAAATAAAATAATATTAGAGATATATAACAGTTTCATGAAACAATATAACAATAGAGAAAATGTTCCAGAGTATATATAGTGCTTTGTCTTTCATTTTCAGACACAGTCATAGGTTTATAACCCTGCTCTAATACTTGCTACTTGAGTGATCCTGGGCACATTCTGCAGTCTCTTTGAGCTGCAGTTTCTAAACTTGTAAAAGGAGCATAAGAAATACTGTATACCTCATGGGAGGTGTTGTAAAATACTGTGTTTGGCATACGCGTGGTAAAGGCCTAGTAAATGTAAGTTCCTTTTTCCACTTCAACTGATGTGATGTGAAGGTGGAGGATGGATGAGAGATTCCTATTGAACTGACAAAATGAATATGAAGAATGATCATAATTTGGGCAGGTGGAGAAGAGTAGGAAGGCATTCTAGGTAGGTGGAGTGATTTGGATGAATGGACAGAGGTAGGAAGGACAGCATGGTCCAGAACTCTCAAGCCCATCTTGGTTTGAGCAAAGAGTGTGGAATGGAGGCTGGTTCCTTCTTCGGAGGCATCACATCACTGCAGTGCTCACCACTCCTTGTGCTGATAAATAGGCTGACTCTGCTCACATGCTTTTAGGGGCTTCAAAGCTCTAAGGAGATTGAATAAGAGTCCAGGGTAGATAGGGTGAGGGAAGGAGGGACTATTCTATTTCTATTCAAAGGAGAAAATGAAAATATTGTGATGTCACATGTCAGAACTCAATATATTGAAAGTAAATTGGTTTAGAGATTACCCAAATCTTTGAAGAACTCACAGTGAAAAATCTATATGAATATGGATATAATAATTGGATATGGGATCCCCCCAAAATGAACTTAAGGATTCTGGTATTTTAGGGAATTTTGGAGGAATGTAATTTGTAGATACAGTAGTCTATTGTACTTTTAAATCTATACTAGAGCTGATACCTGTTCCAGAGTAATTGTGGACAAGCTCTTCTTCTCTTCCCTTGGGAACATGAAACCCAAAAAGCCCGACCTGATTACTTAAATAACAGCATTAGAGCTTTCTTGATAAAAATCAATTACCATAAGCATATTGGATCTGCATGAAGCAGACTCTCTGAACCCAGGGGACTCATTTTCATCTGCCTTCTTGCACTTATGCTATGGGGAGAATTAATGCCTGCTAAAAAGCCAAGACCTACTGATAATGATTGACAAAAGACAGTGTGAGATGTTGATAAATGGTCAATTTGAACAGCATAAAAGTGATCTTAAACAATATATTAAACTCATATATAAGACAGAGGAGGTGTTTGGGCAACAGAGTATCTGGACATAATTTTCTGGTGATTTGGAGATGAGCTAACAATAGCAAAACATACTGCAATGTTAGTCAATTCAAGGGAGAAGGGTAAATCTGATAAACCCATCTTTGGTTCTTCCAGAAGCAGACTCTGAGGTTGAGGTTAGCATGGAAGAGTTTATCAGAGAATCACTATATGTAAAAGGGAAGAAAAGGAAATAGGATTGACGAGAGGGAGATGCTAGACTGTTATGCAATCCGAACAGAGGCCTCAAAGGGAGCTCTAGAGCTAGGATGGCTCTTCAGACTAGTCCCATGTTAGGGTGAGGGGACTGGGCCTTTAAACCTCTGAATCAATTTTTCATTGGATGCAGACTCCCCGGAGCGTTGGGAAGAAGGAGGCATGACTTCAGGGATGGTACCTCTTTTCCACTTAGGGCAGCTCATCACTGTCCACTACAGCACCAGTGGAAAAAATATGTAGCCATCTTAGCAAGAGAAATGTTTACTATTCAACTGATTATTAAGACATAGGATTCAATAACATTAACACTAATATCAATAACTAATATCAATAACTTAACAGGGGTTTATTGCATGTAAGTACCATGTTTCATTTAGTTTTATAACTTTGTGACGTGGGCATTGCTATCCTATGCTTCAATGAAGAAACTGAAGATCAGATAGGTTGAATTACTTGCCCAGGGTCACATATGGTAGAGCCAGGATTTATGCTCAGGACTGGCTCCAGTGCTGTGTGTAAACCTTTATTCTCTACTGGAGCACACACAGTATATTACAGTGCTGAACATTGTTTGAGAAGATACCTGTCCAAGGAATACAGGTTTGCATTCCTACTTAATGTGTGGTCTTATAAACAACATTTAAACAAGTTTCATGAGTTGCTGTGTAAATGTTGACAGTGTTTAGCAGTTTACAGTGGCATTACTTTTAAAAGGAGAATGAGTAATAGTTAATGCTCGGTTGACGATTAAAATCCTTATTTCATGACAAGAAGACTGGAAGTAGTATAACTAGGTACCTTTATAAAGCTACCAATGCCCCCGGAGCTTCGACCATGAGCGTACACTCTTTCATGGGGAAGTCCCATCCATTCAAATATTTACAAATACACTGTCGATTCATTGGTATCATAAGCAGAATATTAGACTAGAATAAAATAAGTAGTGTTTTAGACAATCAAAAGATAATGTGCATTTATTGAGTCTAATCATGAGGGTCTCTTTTGATTATATAACAGGTTCCCTAATCTTTGGGACAGAAATTACAGTTGTCTTTTGCTGGTTTGTTTTCACTTCTTTAGGTCTCTCTACATCAATCTTGTGGGACTCTGGGCAATCCTCACGTGCTCAGTGTTTTGTGGGCTCGCCCTGTATTCTAGGTACCGTGACTGTGATCCTTGGACAGCCAAGAAAGTGTCTGCACCAGACCAGGTTCAGTACCATGTCTTTCTTACAGGTGTATGAATAATATTCAAAAAGCTTATGAGTTGAGAGGAAAGAGCATTCCTATTCTTGTAGAGAAACGGAAAGTGAACTTGCCGTAGTCACTTACATTTCTATAAAACTTTGGTAAGAATTTATTTTAGCAGATATAGCAAGAAAGAAGAGTACTGCATCTAAAATTAAAATATGGAAACACCAGGAAAAGTCAAGTAGAGTGTTAAACAGAAATAGCTCAAGGTTGGGAGTAGGAATGTAAACACAGTTTTGTTTTGTTTTTTTTTAAACTACACAAACCATTGTACTATAGAACATTTTGTGGGTGCTTGTTAGAGCATTCATTTATAAACTATTTATCTTCCAATTTTTTAAATGATGGAGAGATGGATCTAATAAGTGAATATTTATTGAGTACCAACTCTATGGTGAGATTCTGTGCCAAGAGATTAATATGCTTCATTTAATTCTCACAACCCCACAATCCTGATTTTACAGATGAGGAAATGCTTCTCAGAGAGGTTATATAACTTACCCAAGGTCACATTGCTAATAAGTAAGAATAACTACGAGCAGTTATCAAATACCCACCATGGGCCAGGCACTACCATAAATGCTTCATATAAATTTCAACTTTTAATCTTCACAGTCACCCTCTGATGTAGGTTCTACTATTATCTCCCTTTCAAAGATGAGAGAATTCAGGCCTAAAGAATTTAAGTGAGTAACTAGCTAGTAACCTGAAGCCAGGATTTAAAACCAGCTGCCACCAGAGTCCTGACTTTGAACCTCTGTGCCATTTATTGTCTTTCAAAAAGGGGAACTAGAATTCAAACCCAGGATTGCCCAACTCTAAAGCCTGAGTTCTTGCCAAAATTATTTTCTAAGACTCGCCTGCAGAACAAGTTCCTAGGGGATTCATTAGAATGAAAATAGATTGAATTTCTGTTGATGCAAATGCATCTCATGCTCCCAGAAAAATACAACTTTGTGGGGGCTGGAAAATAAAAACACCCTGGGGCTGTTTCTCAACCCTATCTTACCTTATGCCCTCCTTTTGATAAACACACCCTCCCTGTTCTCTCAGACAAGGTGAGAATCACATTTACTGTGAAGATGGAGGCACTCTTCTGTTACATTCCCTCTAATAAAGAATGTTTTGTGACTGTTATCAATCTATATTGTCTGTAGTTTGTATCGTGAAGACAATAAGGACTTAAAAAAAAGTTTTTAATGTACTTTGCGTTTACCCTGGGCAAAAAAAAAAAGTCCCTACGACTTCCCACCTTTGAGACATCTTGTAAAATATATTCAGGGTGTCTTGCCTGTACACGCTTAGACAGCCCGTGAAGGTTTCTCCTCAACTGATGTTTCCAGGACTGTGTTAGTTAACAAGTAAATTCAATTAACATTTCACTGGGGGTACCGTGCAAATAAGACAGTGGAAGATTGTGTCAGAACCTTATTCTCACCCAGTCGTGGTGGCTCACGCCTGTAGTCTTAGCACTTTGGGAGGATGAAGCAGGCGAATCACTTGAGGTCAGGAGTTCAAGACTAGCCTGGCCAACATGGTAAAATCCGTCTCTATTAAAAATGCAGAAATTAGCCGGGCGTAGTGGTGGACTCCCGTAATCCCAGCTACACAGGAAGCTGAGGCAGGAGAATTGCTTGAACCTGGGAGGTGGAGATTGCAGTGAGCCAAGATCAAGCCACTGTACTCCAACCTGGGTGAGAGAGGGAGACTGTCTTAAAACAAAAAAACAAATACAAAAAAATCCCTTATCCTCGAGAGAGCAAGGATATGTTTCTCTATGCTCTGCTTGCATTTGCCCAGAGGAAGCAGGCCAGTTCCTAGATATAGTTTTACTATTTTCTTCTCTATCAATCCTATTTCATTGTTTCTACCTATACTTGAGGGAGCCACTCACACATGAAATAATTACATCACAGATTTTTGAGAAAGTTGAAGACAGGATAGAGGATTTTGGACCTTGCTATAACTATAGATGGAACCTACTTTTGCTATTTGTGGGATGTTGTTTAAAGTTAAACCTTTATGATATTTTGGGAAAACTGGGTCTTGATCTCATATAGGGATAAATGCTATTCCATTTTTCTGAGAATAAAGAATTAGTAAGCTTTGGAAAAGTGGAGAACGCAATCCTAAAAGAACTGAAACAATCCTACTGTTGAAACATTCCCTTTCAACAGTGGAGGAAGTTCTTCCATATCCCATAAGCACACTATTGTTAAATGAAATTGAAGAGGCTATGGAAGCTGATAAAATAGGACATGCCATCTGCTCTGTACTGTGGGAGAAGTTCAGGTTTTAATGCACATGAGAGGACGCTCTTCTAGAAAATTGTCCACTTAGGACTCTTTTGATTCGGAAACTGATTTTGTGGAAAAACTGCCATGCAACAGAGTCCAGAAGTCACACACTTTATTATCCTTATTTGATATTTATTTTTTAAAATAGAAGTTATCAAAAGCAAGTTAGTATCAGGAAGTTTTTTAAAAGAAGCAAGTTTAAGGGATTTCCTGAAGTCATTCTCCACCCATCACTATGTCTTGTACTTGATGCAGCTAAAATTACATCTTCTATCCTGGGCAGTGACTAAAGTTCACAAAATGGCCTTGAGTCATCAAGTAAAGTTAAGCAGATGCTGCTTACTTAAGCACAGAGGTATGTCAAATATATCCTTTAAAACAACTTATTATTCCCAAGAATAGCAACTACTTTGTTTTGAGCATTTATTATATTCCATATACTATACTATGAGTTTTACATAAATTATCTAAATTAACTTTTACAGCAACTCTATGAGGTTAGTATTATTACCACTATTTTATAGATGAGGAAGCTGGGGCTCAGAACTTTAGTTACAAAAGCCGTATCTGTGTGAATCCAAAGCCTCTTTACTTAACTACTGTGCTATTCGTTTCTCTAAATGTTAGTAGTTAAAAGGTTTAATTTTAGGTATTTGAAAATTTCAGTTGTGTGGAATAGCTCCTTTCAGTTCCTGAAGGAGACAAGATAAATGATAAACTAGGCATTCATTAATTTTATTCAGTAGCGAAAAGTACTTGGAAATAAATGTTGGAATTTTTCAGCTCATGCCTTATTTGGTACTGGACATTCTGCAAGATTATCCAGGACTTCCTGGACTTTTTGTGGCCTGTGCTTACAGTGGGACGTTAAGGTATGAACTATGACTCTAATAACACATGATTTCTCTGTTGGGATCTTTCTTTTGTTATTAGATACTTTAGGGTGAAATGTGGAGTTCTGGACATGGACACAGATGTCCCAAAGTAGGCAATCTGCTGCATGTGTCCTCTCTGTGGTCTGACTTATCTCTGTGGACTAGTGTCCTGTTGTCATCAGCTCCACTTTTAACTAGGTCCCTGCTCTCTAATACACCATCATACATCCTATGATGTGATACTCTATGGTCACAATAATGATGATCAGTTGATGGTAGCTTTCACTGATGATCAAAAATGGGTGCCACAGTCTTGATTGAAAACACACATGAGGCTAAAGCATGGTCAACTGGAAAATTAGAATGAAATCTTCCATTTACCTGTTGAATAATATATACTGCCCAAAGTGTCTTACATTTTGTGATCTATCATTGCCCTTTCCTCCAGAGAATTGTTATTATCAACATGTACAGTGTGCGTTAGTGGGGATTCAGGAAATTCATATTGTTGACATTTATAGCACATGGTAGGAAGGACTTATGACAGTCCTTTCTATGCACAAAGAAAAATATTTTTTAAAGTTGTTATTTATAAGAATATGGAGTAATCTGTGTAGATTCTTTTAGACACTGAAGATTAACTGCAAGTGGAAGCAACATGAACATATCCTTTCTCTTTTACTGTCAAGCCTGTAGATATTGCCTGAATATCATTTTTGGATGATAACAGTTTCCAGAAAGGCAGTGCTGTAATTATTAAAAATAGCATAGTAGAGCTGGGTGCGGTGGCCCACGCCTGTAATCCCAGCACTTTGGGAGGCCAAGGCAGGCAGATCACGAGGTCAGGAGATCGAGACCATCCTGGCTAACACAGAGAAACCCCATCTCTACTAAAAATACAAAAAATTAGCTGGGCGTGGTGGCGGGCGCCTGTAGTTCCAGCTCCTCTGAAGGCTAAGTCAGGAGAATGGCGTGAACCCGGGAGGCGGAGCTTGCTGTGAGCTGAGATCATGCCATTGCACTCCAGCTGTCTCAAAAAAATAATAATAATAAAATAAAATAAAAATAGCATAGTAGAAATCGGGTTATATTTTAGAAGTGTCAATTTGTTTCCCCCTTTCTCATTCCCACTTAAAGTATTATTAAAGGTAAAATATTATAAATCAAAAAAATTTTTTCCCTTACAGCACAGTGTCCTCCAGTATTAATGCCTTAGCAGCAGTAACTGTGGAAGATCTAATCAAACCTTACTTCAGATCGCTCTCAGAAAGGTCTCTGTCTTGGATTTCCCAAGGAATGAGTAAGTTTCTGTTTTCACAATTCCATTTTAGCTCAGAGAGATGATTTTTTTGACACAAAAAAATGTTTTTCCACTGAAGCTACAGAGGAAGAACCTCTGATTATGAATGGATATCCACATATGTATGCCTATGACAATGCAGATTTTTTTAAATGTTTGTATCAGTGTTTAACATTACCATATCTGTAATCAAGATTTGGGAGACACTTCAGACAATTAATTGTCAGTGAACCACAAACGACAATTTGCAGGGGACCGATTTGGCTGTCCTTTTTTTCCTGTGCCTTCATCCTACCCTAAATTTGTGTTAAAATTCTTAGCCACACACACACACAAAAATTCAACTATTTTCCTTTTCAACTGTAGTCCACAGTTCTAAGAAATATCCCTACTTTGGAACCAAGAGCCACACTTTTTCTGTGTTACCTAAGAAGGCACTGAAGATTAACTGCAAGTGGAAGCAACTTGCAGTCAGTTTCAGTTACGTAGTCTTCCCACAAACACTTCCCAAACATTTACAGAGGATTACATTAAATTAGATTAATAGATTAGATGAATTGAAGATAAAGAAACAGTGTTATCAATTTTGACTCGTCTTAGTTGTCTGTTCTGTCTGCTTATGTACACTGTCCTGGAGATGAACTATAAATTTGTGCAAGAAATTCTCAACTTCTGTTCTGTTCAATTGTAGAGCATCATTAGGGGTTAAATACCGGCTTGAATAGACTGGTTTAAGCACCTTCAGTTCCCAGATGTCTCAAATGTAATATCCAACTCAAAGAAATCTTGCCAATGTACTGCATTCTTCATTTTGACACCTTGAAATGAATGACTAACAAATTCCTTTTTGAGAAAGAATCTTTAACTTCAACACAATAACATTAATAGATGGTCAAAGAAATAGTAAATTATACCCTATTAGGAGTCATAATTCTATGTAAAATTGCCACGACTGTAGCCAGGAATGAGTCCTTAATTTATATCCTTCAGTGTTCCCTAAATTTAAATAGCAATGCATCATTTTATTATGTACCCAATTTTAATCCTGGAGCATAATTTCAGAATGATGCAATGCTTCCTAAAGGGGTTTTAGACTGGTTCACTGTGGGATTATTGAAGCTGTGTGGTTAGTAGAATGAATAGATGCTTTTGAAGTGAGACAAACCCAATCTTGTTTTGTTAATTTACTAGCTGTTAACCTTGAGAAAATCCAGTTACCCATACAAGCCTCTGTTTCTCTATATGGAAAATGGGCACACAAACACTTTGCAGAATTGGGTTTTGAGATAATGCATATAAAACAGGAGGCACTAGCTGGTGCTCATGGAATGATGTTGATGAATGACAAATCAACTTTGCTAATATAGATGAGATTTTCATTCATTTTAAAGGGTACTGTGAAATCATAATCTTGAAGTATATGCAGTAAGGACATAGAGAAGAATGTGGCAGATGACTTGAATGTGTTTCCAATAACTTTGAGTTCCCAAAATTATAGGTGACTGTTCATCCTATCAAATGGAGAATCAAACCTAATATATTGAAAATATTATTTACATTAAAATTGAGGCATAAAAATCATGTCTATGAGAACTCTTTGAAAAAATATTTAAGATTTTTCATTCAGCTGCATTATTTACTCAATATATTTAACAAAGCTATGAATGCTAAAATAAGATAGAAATAACATTATATAAGAAATACAAAAATTTTATGATGGGCAAATTTCGCATTCATTTTTTTTCTGTATATTGAGTTTTGCATCTGGGAAATTATATCAACTGATTTCAGGTGACTTTTGCTGAATGAAAGTATTAAAGGGCTTTTTGCATGATATTTCCTATAACTTAAAAGGTAATACATGTACCTGGAGAAAATCTGGGAAATACCGAAAATCAATAGAAAAAAAAATTCCACAATCTGACCACCAGTAGTGGCTTGAGAACTTTTATAAACAAGTTTGGGCTGAGCGTGGTGACTCACGCCTGTAATCCTAGGACTTTGGGAGGCCAAGATGGGAGGATCGCTTGAGCCCAGGAGTTCGAGGCCAGTCTGGGCAACATAACGACAACCCGTCTCTATTTAAAAAGAATTTTTTTAAAGAAGTTTGAAGAAAACAACTTAGCAGAAGGGCAGATGTGCTTATTCAGAAGCTGCCTTTCTTTGCTAGTTTAATAGGAAGGGCTTGAGGATATTGACGGAGATTATGAGGGGTCTAAAAGTCCTCCAACACCCCATGGTGTCCGTTGCCACTTCCCAAGGGAAATGAATGCTTAAAGTCAGAAGAGTCTAATTTCTGTTTATTACTCCCTCTCTCACCTTCTACAGAGCAGAGCTGAATAGTATTCTATTTTTGACAAGCTGAAAACAGAGACCTGACCCTTCCTTTATATACAAATGTTTATGGAGGATTAGATTAATAACACAATATAGTTCTTAGTTTTAATCCCTATAGTTAATTACAGGAATTCTTATATAACCTGCTGTCGTAACTAATCCTGGGACACAATGTAAGGGCTTTGTCCTCTTGGAACACTGTTAATGTCAGAGGAAAACAGCCCTTTCCTTTATTCACTGGCTCTGATGTGTGTGTCCATTCTTCACCATAGTCATGTTACTCACTTTGAATCAAAGGTGTGGTGGATTATTCTATTGAGAATTCTAATTCTCCGGGTCTGGATTTTACACTGGCTTTTATGTTGTCCATTTAGGTGTGGTATATGGAGCCCTATGTATTGGAATGGCTGCGCTGGCCTCACTTATGGGAGCTTTGTTGCAGGTGAGAGCTGACCCGTGGAGGTTTAAGTCATAAATCACTAAATCTTTTTTTTAATGTTGATGTCACCATCCTTCCAGACTTCTCTCAATGTATATTGACACCTGGACATATCAAGTGGCAGAGATGACTATGCTTTTAAAATTTTTTTTTAAATTAAACTTTGTGTTTTGAGATAATTGTGGATTTACATGCAATTGTGAGATATAATACAGAGAGATCTCATATACTCTTTACTCAGTTTCTCTCAATGGTAATGTCTTACAGTGGTAACATCTTGATAGTACAATATCAAACCCATATATTCTGTATACTAGCTCTTGGTCACATGTGGTTTTCAAATTTTTTTTACACTGTAGTTTGTCTTTTTATCCTCATAACAGGGACTGTCAAAGTACAATTTTTTTTTTTTTTTTTTTTTTTTTTAGTTTGGATAAAATCTAGTTTATCAATTTGTCTTTTCATGGATTGTGTTTCTGGTGTAGAGTCTAAGAACTTTACCTAGCCCCAGATCTTGAAGATTTTCTTCTGTTTCTTTTCAAAGAGTTTTAGAGTTTTACATTTTATATTTAAGCCTACAATCCCTTTGGAGTTAATTTTTGTATAAAATGTGAGACTTAGGTTGACATTCTTTTTTCCTCTATGAATGTTCAACCAGCACCTTTTGTTGAAAAGGCTCTCTTTCTTCCATTGACCTGCCTTTACACGTTCGTAAAAAATCAATTAAGCATATTTGTATGGGTCTATTTCTGAATTCTCTGTTTTCTTTCACTTATTTATGTGTCTGTACTTCTGCCAATACCACACAGCTTTATAATTTGATCATTTTGATTACTGCAGCTTTAAAATAAGTTCAAGATCAGGTCGATTGATTCCTCTCACTGTATTCTTAGTTTTCAAAATTGTTTTAGCTATTCTAGTTCTTTTGCCTTTTCATATGAAGTCTAGGATAATCTTGGTCTGTATCTACAAAAAAAATCTTGCTTAAATATTGATTGCCTGAAAGCTGTTTATTCATTTGAGAAGAAATGACATCTTTACTATGTTGAATTTTCTAAAACATGAACATTGTATGTCTCTTCATTTATTTAGCTTTTTATGCAAATCATATTTTTTATGTTGGTGTCTATGTGTTCAATGCTAATATGTAGAAATAAAATTAGGCCGGGCGCGGTGGCTCACGCCTGTAATCCCAGCACTTTGGAAGGCCGAGGCGGGCGGATCACAAGGTCAGGAGATCGAGACCATGGTGAAACCCCGTCTCTACTAAAAATAGAAAAAAATTAGCCGGGCGCAGTGGCGGGCGCCTGTAGTCCCAGCTACTCGGGAGGCTGAGGCCGGAGAATGGCGTGAACCCGGGAGGCGGAGCTTGCAGTGAGCCGAGATTGCGCCACTGCACTCCAGCCTGGGTGACAGAGCGAGACTCCGCCTCAAAAAAAAAAAAAAAAAAAAATTAATGTGTTTATATTTATCTTCAATCTTGTGACCTTGCTGAGCTCACTTATTAGTTCTGAGAGTTTTTTGTTTCTTTGTTTTATGTTTTGGTTTGTTTTGGTGTATTCCTTGAGATATTCTACATAAACAATCATGTCATTTTCGAATAGGGCAGTTTTATTTCTTTCCTTCTGATCTGTATGTATGCCTTTTATTTCCTTATTGCACTGGCTTCAACTTCCACATCATGTTGAATAGAAGTAGTGAGAGTGGAAATCCTTACCCAGTTCTCCAATGTGAACAGGAAACTCTCTATTCCTATTTTTTTTTCTGAGAGTTTTCACCATAAATGGGTGTTGAATTTTTTCAAACACTTTTTCTGTCATCAATTTATATGATCATGTGATCTTCTTTAGCCTACTTACATGATGGATTACATTGATTGATTTTTTAATGCAGAACCAGCCTTGTTTGGTCATGGTGTGTAGTTATTTTTATATATTGCTGAATTCTATGTGCTAATATTTTATTAAGAATTTTTACATCTATGTTCATGAAGAATATTGATCTGTAGTGGTGCGTGTGTGTGTGTGTGTGTGCATGTGAGTGTGTGTGTGTGTGTGAGTATACTGCCCTTGGTTTTGATAGCAGGGTTATACTAGCTTCATAAAATAAAATGAGAAGGATTCTGTTTTCTATTTTCTAGGAGAGATTGTCTAAAATTAGTGCCAATTATTCCTTAATTATTTGGTAGAATTCTCTAGGGAAAGCATCTGGGCCTGGATTTTTTTTTTTTTTAGTTTTAAAATTATGAATTTAATTTCCTTAATAGTTATAGAGGTATTCAAATTATCCCTTTCATATTCGATGAATTGTGACAATTTACGTTTTTGAGGAATTGTTCCATTTTATCTAAGTTTGCAAATTTATATATGTATAGTTGTTCACAGTATTTCTGTACTATCCTTTTGATATCTGCAGGACCTGTAGTGATAGACCCTGTTTCATTCCTAATATTGGTAACGTTTATCTTATTTTTTTTGGTCTTTCTACAGGTTTGTCAATTTCATTGATGTTTTCAAAGAACCAACTTCTTTTTTTCATTGATTTTTCTGTGTTGTTTTTCTGTTTTCATTCATTGATTTTTAACTTTTCTCTTTATGACTTCTTTTCTCCTTGCTTTGGGTTTTAATTTGCTATTCTCGAGGTGGGATCTTAGGTTATTGATTTAAATCTTCTCTTTTCTAATGTGTGCATTTATGCTGAACATTTCCTTCTTGACGCTAGTTTACCTGTGTTCCACAACTTTTGACATCTTGTATGCTTGTTTACATTCAGCTGAATGCATTTTTAAGTTTTCTTTGAGATATTCTTTTGATTCATGGATTATTTAGAAGTATGTTACTTAGTTTGCAAGTATTCAAATATTTTCCTGTTATCTTTCTGTTATTGATTTCTAGTTTGATTCCATTGTGATCAGGGAACATACTATGATTGCAGTTCTTTTAAGCTTGTTGAGGTCTGTTTTATAACCTAGGATATGGTATTTTGGCATATGTTCCATGGGCACTTGAAAAGAATGTGTATTCTTTTTTTATTAGGTAGAGTGTTTCATAACTATCAATTAAATTCTGTTTGTTGATGGTTGCTGATTTTCTGTTTAGTTGTTTTATCAATTGTTGAGATAGGGGTGGTGAATTCTCCAAATATAATTGTATATTTGCCTATTTCCCTTTTAGTTCTATCAGTTTTTGCTTTGCTTCATGCATTGGGTCTTATTGAAGGATTAACTTTTTTGTTATTATATAATGTCCCTATCTGTCTCTGAGAAATTTTTTTGCTGTGAAGTCTATTTATCTGATATTAATATAGTTACTTCTACTTTCCATTGATTAATGGTTGCATAATATATTTTTCTATTTTTTCACTTTGAACCGCCTATGCTGCTATATTTGAAGTGAGTTTTTTTTGTAGACAGCACATAGTTGAGTTTTTTTTAAAAATCCAACCTGTCAATCTCTGTCTTTTCATTGGTATACTTAGACCATTCACATTTTATATATTATTGGTATGTTATGTTAAGGCTTAAGCATCATTTTTTGGTTTTCTGTTTGGTATTTCTGTTTTTTGGTTTCTGCCTTCCTGTGAGTTGCTCTAGGGTTCCTTCTTTCTACCATTTCCTTTCTGTTTGGAAAACTTCTTTTAGCCATTCTTTTAGTTTTCCTTCACCTGAGAATGTCTTGAGTTTCCCCTTTATCCCCAAAGGATATTTTTGTTGGGTGTATGATTCTGAGTTGTTAGTTTTTTTCCTCATGAGTTAAAAAAGTATTTTCCTACTTTCTTCTTGTCTCTATAATTTCTGATGATAAATATGCTACTATTCTAATTGTTTTCCCTTACAGGTAAGGAGTCATTTCTTTCTGGATGCTCCCAGGGTTTTTGTTTTGTTTTGTTTTTTCTTTAGTTTTCAGAAGTTTAATTATGATGTATCTTGGTGTATATTTCTTTGTTTTGAGTTTTTGATGTCTGTTGGCATGTATTTCTTTCTTTTCTTTTCCTATTTTTTTTAGGGTTACTCAGTTTCTTGAATCTTGAATCAGCTTCTTTCATAAGTCTGAAAGAGATTTATGTCTCTTGCCAAGTTTGAGAAGTTCAGACATTAATTCTTTGAGTACTTGTCCACCCCATCATCTTTCTCTTTTCCTCTGGGACTCTCATGACATGAATGTTAAAATTTTTTGTTATAGTTCTACAGATCCCTGAAGTTTATTTTTTATTTCTTCATTTCATTTCTCTCTATTGTTCAGTCTGGGTTATTTCTGTTGCTCTGTCATTCAGTTCACTGATCTTTTTCTTGGTTCCCTCTATTTTGCTGTTGTGCCCATTCATTTAAATTTTTTATTTCAGTTATTGTATTTCTTCAGCATAATAATTTCATTTGGTTCTTCCTAATATCTTCTTTTTTTACTGAGATTTTTCTATGTATATTTTTTCCCTCTATTTTTTCATTAGTTTCAAGTGAGTTCTAATTGTTAAAGCATTTTTTAATCATGGCTGTTTCAAATTTTTTATCAAATAATTCTATTTCTGTAATCTCTGTATTGACATCTATAGATTGTCTTTTTATATTTAATTTGAGATCTTCCTGATTCTTTCTATGAAAAGTTAATTTCCACTGAAACCTGGGCATTTCAATATTATGTGATGAGACTTTGAATCTCACCTTCTGTTTTAGCTGGCTTTCTCTGACACTACTTCAGTAGCATAAGGAAGGGTGCTTCCTCATTACTGTCAGATGGAGGTAGAAGTCTAGAGGGAGGAGCTCCTTGTTATGCAGGATAGGGGTATGTAGTATACTGTGAGACATATTGTGGCTGTAAGATTAATGATAGTGCATAAGGCCCGCTGAAATATCTTGTAGGACTGATACTACATGTCTCATGGGAATTTACAACCCTGGCTCAGGGATTTCCAGGAAACAAAGCCACCTCAGCACAGATACAGCTTTCATAAACCTTAGAACAAAGCTTACTTTTAAAATAATGGCTTAAATACCTTTTATGAAAGAA